GGGGCTGGCTAGGGATTAAGACAGCATCAATAAGGCCGCACACAAATCCACAGTCGTGAAGCCCTATTTCGCCAAAATAGGGTTGTTTTATGGGGCTTGCCTATTTGAGCTGTTCAGCAGAGTTTCCTGACCTAGTGGGGCTGGCTAGGGCTTAAGACAACATCAACAAGGCTGCAAATTAATCCCCAATCGTGAAATCCTATTTCGCCAAAATAGGATTGTTTCTTGGGGCTTGCCTATTTGAGCTGCTCAGCACAGGTTCCTTACCCAGTAGGCCTGGCTAGGGCCTGAGACGTCAAGAAGGCTGCTTGGCTTGGTGGAGTCCTGGTGCTGGACTTACCTCGCATAATTTTGTTTTGAAATTATTCTACCTCGTACCTCGCGAAGTGAGCTCGCAATAATTCGCTCAGACCAATGGCACCACAAAGCCTAATGATGCCTGATATGTTTCCCAGCCCCGAACCATCCCATGAATCTCAATCAGTGACGAAGGCACATCTGCTGCGGATTCTTGGGGTTCTGACTCCCAAGTTTCCCCACACCTCACTCCAATGCAGCTACGCTGGAGTGGCTTGCACTTCACAGACTCTACCTTGATTGAGGTTCACCTACAGTCAACATCATCTCATCAAAAAGACTGCATTGCCGCATTGTGATTACTGTAGCTTGGCGCTCTCAACATCTGCTGCCATCCAAAACAAAACCTTCTCCGAAACACCACGACGACGGGTGGACCGTGGACCACGGTTTCCACGACGACGTGACTACGGCCTTTCCACGGTGGACCGGCGTACGCCCAGGGTGTTCTGCAACTCGCTCATGGCGAGGCGAGGAGGCCAAAGAGTCTCAAGTTGACGTGAAGATAGTATGAACGCCTGAAGCCACTGAAGGCACACTGTGCTGAGCAGGTCCGACAGGTCTCACGACTGTTAAACATACAAAGACCACATGCGATGCGATGGCACCTGCATTTGTAACAAATGGATACCAACGGCCATCACTGGCCGGAAGTCTGTTCCGCCTACAAGCTCTTGCTTAAGCCAAAGGCCCCATCAGGGCAACTGTAACCGACTCACAAAACAGTCCTGATGAATGCAGCACACACGCATCTTAGGTCGTCTTAGGTCACTCAGCTGTCGGAGTGCATCCTCTATATAGTGACCCCCAAAAAGATAGTGGCACGGTTTCCGTTACATTCTTAGTGGGGATCTACTTTTCTATAAAGTTGGGGGCCACTCACTATAGATCTTGGTACCATTCCTTCGCATCACCCGAACGTCCACGGCCTGAGACGCGGAGTTGGCGTCCGGTGGGAGGAGCGCTGAGCCCTGGATGCCGATGTGAGCCGCTTGAGCAAGGCCCAGAGTAGGCCCCGCCCCCTACTGAGTCTCTCAAAGGACCAATGGGCACCCATGGGCAACCCCAGAGGGCCTTACAGGCCGCCATCATGGGAAGAAGCTTTTCTTGGCCTTTTGAAGCCGCAGAACACATCGACCAATCCAAGGACTTGTAAAAATGGGGTCTGATCATCTCTCATCTTCCGAGTTGTTCTGAATCTCGTGAGGCTCAGCTGACAAGCTCGATACTTCGAGGTTGCGTAGCTTGCCTTCCACTCGTCAGAACCCTGCGCTTCGGGGGGGTAATACAGTAAGCAGCTAAGCAGCTTCCATAAGTGGCTCAGTTTTCGAGCATAACAACCTCTCCCATGACCAAGTATTTGACATTCTCCTCTCCCATATCATTGCCGTGTCAGTGCTTTTCCACCGGCCACTGAGTAGATGGCGCCATACAAATGTCAAGAGCACCCAAGACAGTCCCTCAGGGGCCCCAAGTGACTATGACCCGTGTGGAGGGGCCCAGTGGGAACCTGTATCTGTAGGCATTGAGGGTGTTTACTTGACTCACGATAACCGGATTGAAACCAATAACACTGCTTAATTGGTGCGCTTGTCGCTTGTGTGTTTTGTCCCTGCATCCTCTTCTTGAGGCTGTTGAAATCCACAAGGAGGAACAACTTCAGTGGAGGCAAATCGGCCAAGGAACTGGTTGCTATGAGAAATGCCCACTTCGAAGAGCGCTCTTGGCCGCTCTTGGCCCCAGGCCTTGCCGTCCGCCCAAATCTCCTCGGCACTCCGATGCTTGGGCCCGGAAACCGGCGATCGTGGGCTGGATGGGCACAGGCCTCAACGTGTCTTTCTCCGGTCCATCCGGTTCATTCCGAAACTGCTTCTGTTTGATCGCTCCTTCTCAAGCTTCTCGAAGACCTCCTTGAAGAAGGAGGTCAAAGATTCAGTTGAGACCTCAGCCCAGGCTCAGAGGAGCCCACTCCGGCAGTAAAACCAAGAGATCAGTCGTAAGCTCCTGGTCTTTACACGGTGCTAAAGGAAAATAAATAAACATCCAATACATCCCGAACCCACCACGAGTCGATGACCTGCAGGGCTGTGCGACTCCGAAATGCCGTGTCCGCATCTGCCGTAAAAATTTCGGACTAGTGGTGGTCTTTTAGCCAGGCTTTGTACCAGCCAAGACTTCCAGTCTTTGGAATCTTTGGTGGGTCTTGAGCACTCTAGAAAAAGGAAACAAAGAAAAAAAGACGCCGCCTTTTGGGTCACCCTCACCGGAGCGTCCGGCTGCAAGGAGGCCGCCTCCGGTCCCACACATCGGCGAACGGAGAAGAGCAACAGTTCGACCATGTAACACTGGAGGATTTGAAACTTCTATGTCAGAGACCGCCACCACCCACCAAGAACAACATTCCCATACAACACTGAGTAAGATGATGTTGGTTCATGTTGCCTCACATGTTCCCAAAAAAGAAAGCAAAAAAACACGCAGCAGTTCCATGCAGTTCAAGTCAGGAGACACCTGCACGGCGCTGCGTGTGGCTGTCACGATCATGGCAGCACCCTTTTCTAAGAAGTAGTCCGTGGAAGCGATGAGCCTGGGACGGCTCACGGCGCCGATTTCAAGCAGCGAAACGGCCGACGACCTCGGGAGACGCCAACCACCTCATTGCAAGCTGGATGGTTTGGGGGGGGGGCAAAAAATCGTGTGTGTGGCGTCTTGGAACTACTGGGGATGGGCCAACTGTGTAAGTGGCCTATAAAAACACAACTCCAGGTGGACTTGGCCATGATGAGCAGGAGAGTTGCTCTTCAAAAACGGAGTTTGGACCCATGAGTGCGCTGCGACACCACAGCACGCGCCGGTGCCCCCACGTGCGGTGACAGCAGCTGCTCCGGACAAATATATAGGCCTGGGTCCTAGCCACCCATCGCTACGTAAGCCAACCATGGAAGTGGAACAGTCCGACCACTGATTGAAAGGCTGAGAGAGGGTGTAGAACTCTACGGTCAACCTTCCGAATGTATGCATGTACTGATGCTGGATTCTTTGACTATGCATGATTCCTCTCTCCGCCACGGGTTTCTTGTTTTCCGCCTATGGCAAGGCCAAAATACAGGACCTAAGGCCTTTTGTCAGCAAACAGCTGGGTGGCCAACTCCTGCATAGCTGCCGACTCCGCACCATCCTGCATCTGACACCGTCCTTTATGAACAAACCCCTCGACTCGAGTGCTGCTCGTTTGAGGCAAACAATGAAACAACGTGCGAACAACACTGGAGACTTCCAAAGTCGAAGCTGTCAGAATTCAACCCATATGTTCCTGGCCTGCGCTATCTCTCCGGTCTTACCTGTCAGAAGACTCATCAAGCATCAACTCATTAACTCAATGTGAAGAAAGTTATCATGAAGCTAATTCTGCACGGCGATTCTCGTATGGACACCACATTACGACTCTGAAAAGCTTAGCTACGACACCCCGGCCGGACCACCTGTGATACCGGCCGTCTGCATCACTCGAGCCGTCCGCGCATCCGAGGTCCAGACTTGAGATGGCCTCTCGACCAGCAATGTTGAACTGCACCCGATGGAGCAGCAAAATGACCTGATCAAGGGATCTGGATGGATCTGGGCATCTGAACCAGAGGGAGGGTTGCAATCCATAAGGTCACACCGACCAAGGACCCAAGGTCCCATGGCACACATATCCAATTACGTGTTCAACCCCCAAGATCCTCACATACAAAGAGTAGGCAGCAGAAGCCACCATGGAGAGGCACTCGACCTGCAAATGCAAACCGCCAAAGATGGGGTGAGAACATGTGAGGCGGCATGGCATGAGAACATGTGAGAATGTCTTCAACTGGGGCCAACTGATCAATTGATCAAAGATATCACAGATTGACGTCGGAGAACTTCTTTTTGCGGTCAAGCTGAAAGGCCAACTGCAGCACAGTCGGTCTCTCCATGGTCGGTCCACTTCACTGAACGCCCTCAGCGCCGTCCCCCTTCAACCCTCCACCGATTCCCCTCACACAGGCCGCAAGGCGCTGCAGGCCTGCAACTCCTTTAATGCTGCTAGTTTCTGCTCTCTGTCACTTGCTGCCTTGACCTGCGCACAGGCCGCGACACCTACAGTCTACAGTAAGTCTTACAATTTATATAACATCCCTAGATTGGCTAAACTTACTGGCATCGCGCGCTCAAAAACTTTGAGCAAGGGGCCTTTGACTCAGCTGGAGCATTGCACATTCCAGGTACGAGTGCATTCGACATCCCGCTCTAACTTGTGGCTCACAAGCCAAGCACCTCGATGACCCTCTCACATGCGCCTTGGCCTGGCACTGGTCGATCTTAAAGCAACCTGAACACTGCAACATGCATTTGAGTGTCCCCCCAAGAAAACCTTATCCATTGCCACAGCAAAGGCTAATCTGTGTGCCCGGACCCTGAAGTCTGACCAGGAAGTTCTGCAGACCTTTGCGCCTCAAGAGGAGTGTTCATCAACCCAAAGCTCGTGTATGCTGTATTTTGATGTATTTTGGGAATCTGTCCAATTCTGTCCAGAAACCGCCAACAAAATGAGTCATGTTAAGTATATACACCTTCCACACCGGAAACCGGTGCAGTTTCACTCCCGCTCGCCCCACCCCTGAAACCTCGGCATTCATCGGCCAAGGTGCGCATAGCTGTCTGAAACCTCCTGATGCTTCTGGAAGCTCACTCTTCTCTGCTGCTCTTCCACCTGAAGAAAGCACCGGGGCGATCGTTGCGGCAACGGCCGCCGATTCGCGAGCGACGGGCGGAAAAGTGGCATGAGCACATGTCGATCGAGCATGGCGCCTGGCCATTGGAGGCAGAGGCACCTCGGGCGGGAAGCTGTCGCATCAAGAATCTGATCTCAAAAATGTCGCAAAAGCTTCTTCCAGGTGTCTCACATCTACTTGCCACGTGCACCCGTGAATCAACATGTGTCCTAATTTCGACTCCCCTGACACTATATATATCCGGTGAATAAGTCCCACCGGAATATCCCCGATCCCTTGGGTGCCTTCAGTGAGTTCCTTCAGCAGTGAATCAAAGAGATCTGCCTGGATTTTCGGCAACTTCACCTCAGTCGTCCAAGGGTGAATCCTCATGTTCCTCGTGTCCAACGGGTCTGAGTCGTCTCGGGGGCTGCTTTGAGGGTCTCGGATCTGAGGCTGAAGATTTGTTGAATCTTGGTGCCCTAGAGAATGACATCCTGGTTAAAATGTAGAGAGGGTTATAAACTCGAAAAATGGATCTATATTTATATATACATATGTTATATAATATATGCGTGTTATGTTTTGTTATACAGTGTGTATATTGATGTGTGTGTGATTATGTATGATATGTATGTATATAATAGGGAATCATGTCCCTGAGGGCATGACCTTCACATAGTAGTAAACGCCACCAGCCACGATGCCGGTGAAGATCAGTTTTTTCCTCCGCTGTCACGCAATCGTAACTTTGAGGGGAGATCTCTTCAGCCCCCTCAAATCAACTATAAATAGATATCAAGATTTAATATGTGTATATTGTGTGTATCTATATCTATATATATATATATGCAAGGACTAGAAAAGTATGCGCAATCTTCAAGTGTTCGACATGCAGCCTCTGGGAGAGGAGTTTGTACAATC